CCCCACCCCCATCCCAGTGTGCAGTGCAGGCACCTGTCTCCCGTCTTCCCCCCTGCCCCGCCTGCACCCTCAGACCTGAAGAAGGCTCACTCCCAACCTGCGCTACCCTCGCCTGGGGCCTGGCCAGCTCTCCCCACATTGTCTGCCCTGACTTCCTTACCATAGGACATCATAATGAGCGCGGCCTCGGTGCCGAAGCCCTTGCCCCTGCAGCTGGGCTCTAGGAGAAAACGACAATCATGACACCGTGTGCCAGGCTCCCGGGCAGGCACAACACATGCGATCTCACTCAATCCTCACAATTCTACCACGTCCGTAAATATAATGACCATTCTGCAGACGAGGGACAGAGGCACACAGAAGGGAAATGACTAGCCCGAAGTCTCAGTGTGGAGACACCCAGCAACCTGACACCAAAAGCTGACTCTTTAACCTCAACGTGCTGCCTTATGAGGAGTCGCACAGCCTCTTAGGAGAAGGCTAAGGACCAAGAAGGACACAGAAACTGGAGGGGCTCCTCCCACAGCCTGGGAAGATGCTCCAGGGAAGATCAACTATTTTAGAGGATCCCCCAGACCACCCCCAAAGTAGGGCAGAGTGAAGTTCGAAGACCCTAAATCCAAAGGTTGAGTTCACACTCACGCATAAGACAGGAACAGAGTGACCCACAGGCTAACAGGGTGCCAAGTGGCAGTCTGCCCCAGCCAGGTGCTGGGCTCCCCAATGCCAGAGCCTCCCATTGAGCCCCTGGAGGTCCCTATGCAGCCTCGGCTGCCTTCAGGTCACCAGATCCAAGGCCCAGAAGGGAGGAGACGAACCTGCAATCATGACCTCGATCTCCCCCAAGGAGGGGTCCCCTAGATCTGTGAGGAAGAGGTTCACATCCCCCGCCATGCAGCTCTCCTCGGTGGTGCCTGGCTGGGCCTGCCACTTCGCTGCGTCCAGCACAATGAAGGTACACTCTAGGGAGGGAGGCCGCAGGGTTAACACCTACACGCCCAGTGAGGCCAGTCTTCCTACCCGAGCCAGAGAACTAGCAGCGTCCCTGAGTCTGGCAGGAGAAGGGGGGCCAGAGCTTCCTGCGGCTGATTAAAAAGCCCTAAATCTGCCTCTTGCAGGAAATGATGGCCTTCTCCAAACAGCAAGTGTATTTTCAGACTGCAGGGGGCTCAAAGAAGAGCAGGAACCACACTGGGCTTGCAGCTAAGGATGTGAGGGGCAGGGCCTCAATTACAACCACAGCCCAAAATACTTCCTTTAAATCCTTCCAGCCGGGCCCAGGGAGTGGGGAGAGGACAAAAGTGTCCGCCACAGGGACCAGGCTCAGCGGGCACCAGAGTGTGCGGGTTGCAAGCACCTCTCAGGCTTTTCACGGGTGTCTGTGCCTCCGAAGGGCTACAGCTGGGAAGAATGGGAGGGACCCTGGAGGCTGCCTCTGGCGTCGGCCCCCCCACTGCAGCCCAGCCCAGGGCCGCGCTCCTCACTGTCCGCATCTTCCCGCCAGCTGCGCTGCATCGCATACTCCTGCTCCAGGGTCAGCGGCTCCGAGGCCGTCAAACGCTGCAGCTCCTCGGATTTCATCCACTCGTGGTACCTGCAGGGGCAGAGGGCGGCCTTCAGCAGGCAGGACTGACCCAGGGGCATTGGCCGTGGCACTGAGATGAAGAAACAGGTGGTAGAAAGGAGAACCCCATCAGGCTAATTCAGGAGCGCAGAGAAGACCCAAGAAAAGGGTTATAGTTGCTCCTAAGGCAGAGGGCCACAGGCACCTAGAGGCAGGCTAGACCCACAGGAGAACAGCAGGAGGGGTCAGCTCTGTCTGTCCAGTTTCCCATCCTGTCTCTGGGGTCAGTGTGGGGAGTGGTATAAAGCCAAACATTCCTCGAATTCCTGAGGGGAAGAGTATGGCAAGCTGACCGCTGCAAAGAAGGCTGGACAGAGCTCCACAAGGAAACCCCAAGCAGAAAACTACAAGTAGAGACCACACCCCTACACCACCACCATTCCAGTCTACCAGACTTTGCCAACTGCCCCCCCCCAAAGAGTCCCACCCTGCAACTCAGTCCCCACCTTTCAAAACAGGAGACATCAAACCACGCCCCCACCCCCACCCCCAGCTCAGTTTATGACAAGCTGGAGTCTCCACGAACAGAAAATTCACTGGCACCAAAGGAATGTCGCTACTTTACAATCAGGTGAGAAGGCAATTTTTTTTCTTACATTTAGTGAACATTAACTAATCCCTTACTGAGAGGCCAAAAGCTGAGAGGTCGGAAGGGGACAGCGGGGATGGGTGACTTCTTCCAGGGAAGTCAGAGTCCTCTGCTTCACTGTTCACTTTTTCCTGCACGTAATTACTTCTCACACCCATGCTTCTCCTCGGAGGAAAGAGCCTCTGACATTTGGGCTGCACCTCGGAGAGCCGCCTTGCACCCATGTCAGGTGGCACGGTTACCTGGGCACATGCTCTGCGGTGTAGGGCACCAGCACCACCTTCTTCCCCAGGAGCGAGACGTTCTGGTTTAACCTCATGGTCGCAGCCTGAGGGTGGGGAGTGCACGGCCTTCAGGACCCTGAGTTTCCTCCCACATAGGGTGGGAGCCCAGGCTCTCAACTCGCTAAATGCCTCCTGGGGCCGAAGTGTCAGGAGAGCCTTCCCTTGGAAAGACTGCAGAGAACAGGGGCTCTAAACCCCTTGGGGAAAGGCGGCCGGTTTGGCTACAGATGGTGAGACATCCTTACTCGCGCCTTCAAGAGCCAAGACTGAGCTGCCATGCCTGCAGGTTCCTCCCGCCCCACTTCCCAGAACTTCGAAGCCTCCAACCCAAAGCTCCCATCACTAGCCCAGTCCTGAGACCCCGCCCCAGCCCAGCCCTTAAACCTCCTTCCCATCACCCCACTGGCCTCCGGCCTCTGTCTCCCACTTCCCACGCCAGGTCCCCAGGCCACGTCAGGGTAGGCGAGCTCACGTTCTCAGCCCCCTCCCCGATGTGCGGGGCTACAGGCTGCTCCCGGGTACCCTCACCCCGGACCCCAGCCACCGGGGTCCCCGGGCGGCCAAGTTCACACCCACTTCCCTCCGACGAAGGCGTCCCTAGAAGAACCTGGGAGCTGCTTCTTGCAACTAGCCCCGCTTCCCCACCCGGCCGCCGG